AGCTCCCTCCGGAAGCTTCTGCGCTTGTCTCTATCTGCTTGGAACTTCTCCCAAATAGCACCTCCCCAGCGATGCTCTCTATGCCCATCAATGTTGCAATCCCTCCCCCTCGGGGCTGTTGCTGTCACTCTCCCGTGTTGCTTTTCTCCCTGGCCTTTATCACCATCTGGCAAATTGTATAAATTTGCCTTCACTTCTTGGTTCTATTTGACTCCTGAGTTAGGGTGCTGAGTTTTAATAGCAAGAGATAACACATTATCTGAATTTATTTGGCCCCTGAATTTCAGATAACAAGTAATGAGAATTTGGATAACAAGAGATTTGTCCAAATATTTACCTCTGTATGTGCAGCTCCAGGTTTGGATAGCCAGAGATACTTATTAAGGTTACTTATTTATTTTGCTGATTTGTCTCCCCAAATCTGAACATAAATGCATGGAATTTGCCTGTTCTGCTCACTGCAGTGTCTTGTCGAAGAGCGCCCAGCACAAAGCAGACATTCGATAGGAGCTTGTCGGCTCACGGAGGGAGAGAAAGAAGGAAGTCACAAAGGTAAGAGACATTGACTGAACACAGATGGAGGCGGGGGCCAGGGCAAGAAGGGGTGTAGTCAGGAGATAATACCCCCTGCCTCCTCCAGCCGCCAAATATGGGGCTTCCATGATTCTAGCCCTATTATTTCCAAGAACGAGGGGCAGTTTGGATCCCGAGATCAGGCATGAAGCACAAGGGCCGTTTGTGACCACAAGTCATGTCTGCACAGCCCCCTCGGTCTTGGCGGCTCCCCCATTCCCAGTGCTGTCTTCTGAAAGGACACGTGTCTCTTCTGAGCCACTGTGGATGCGCAGTGCCTGTGTGTGCCGTGTCATCCATGAGAGGTAGCCGACCAAGACCTGCTGTTAGAGGCTGCAAAGGGAGCAGAGACCCCTGCGTGGCCCTTCTTTCCCCCGGGGGGCGAGGGAGGCCGCGTCCCTGGTCCCGGACACCGGGTACCGTGACGTCGCAGCCTGCGTGAGCTGGCCTTCTGCACCAGGGCCTCCTGTGACGTGGGTCGCAGCAGATATGGGAAACTCAGTGCTGTCCTCACATCGATTTTTTGAGCTACCTAATTCTCTTTAATAATCTTTCTTTGGGGCTTCAAAAAGCCAGTGTGGGATTTGGTTTTTACAGGGTAGGACCAGATCTGGAAAGGAGGAGTTTTTGTTTCTGCGGTACTCCCTGTTTGCTCTGCTGGAAGAGGAGAGGAATCAAGTTCCTGGTCGCTTGGTCTTTTAATTCCCATTTGAAACTTTTAAAGTCGAAATGCTTGATGTTCTTTATAAATGATTCAGCGGCAAAGAGTCATCTGGGCCAAGGGTTTCTCAACCTTGGCACCACGGACACATTGGGCTGGGTCATTCTCTGCTGGGCGTTGTCTTATGCCGTGGAGCCTGCCTACAGCATCCCCCCCTTCTACCCACGGGGGCCTGGCAGCCCCCAAGCCCATGTGTGAGGACCATCATGTCCCCAGCATGTCCCAGGTCCCCGTAGGGCAAGAGAGCCACTGATCCAGAGGCAGGTGGACGTATTCTTCCGTGTATTTCTGTGTCATGTTAGGAATCCGGAGACAGACAGGACCATGGATTTTACTCCTTGGATGGGACATTCAGAAAGAGTGGTTTTAGTCCAACGCAATCTTCACTGTTATATTAAAAATAAGACTAAACACTCGCTGTGAATCATGAATATTCTAAATTGTTTTATTGCTTAAATATGTATGATTCAGTCACCTCTCTGTTGTAAGAAGTGCTACACTTAAATATATATTTTTTTAAAGATTTTATTTATTTATTTGAGAGAGAGAGAATGAGAGAGAGAGAAAGCACATGGGGGGGAGGGTCAGAGGGAGAAGCAGACTCCCCGCTGAGCAGGGAGCCCGATGTGGGACTCGATCCCAGGAGTCCAGGATCATGACCTGAGCCGAAGGCAGCCGCTCAACCAACTGAGCCACCCAGGCGCCCACTACACTTAAATATTATACATCATTTCTTGAGATGACAGTAGGCTGTCTAAAGCTAAAATCAGGAGTGATACATCAGGAAAAGTTACAACTGTGAATAAGTGGTTACATTTGATGTTTTTTTCCCCTCTAATCAAACTCCGCTCTGACTTCCCCCACACATTCTGCTGATTTCACATTCATACTGGGCTTTGTAATATCGATCACTCCATAGTTTACTTCATACTAGAAGTTTTATTAAAGGCATTTATTTTTGATAATAAGGAGTATGAGATATTTATAGCTGTTTCATTTTTAAAAATACTATAAACACGTATTACAAATCTAATAGACCATAACTAGAATTTTGACTTGTGGAAAATCTGTTCTTAACACAACAGATCAGTGATTTTCCAGCACAGCTGCTGAGATAAGCTATGGCCACCAGCAATTTCTAAAGGTAAAAAAAAATAAGAAAACGATTGTTAATATTATAAATAATTGATTATCATTTATTACAAAATTATTACCTTTGAGCAATTATCACAGTTAACAAGTGAGTTGCTTTGGGATTACTGCTTAATTACTATTAAGCAGCAAAGTACATATGGCATATGAAATTCATTGTTTATTATTATTTTTACAAGCACAGATGGCTTAGTACAATCAGGAAGACTAATGGAGAGTAATCTTTTTTTAATGTAATTACCACATGAATATGTCAAATCATTTTTTCTTTTTGCTAGCATTGTAATGTTATTTTAATTAAGATGCTAAGGACAGTAATTTTTCCCACCTAACTAGACCAAAAGGAAAAGGAAGATATATTCAAGATATTTTTAAAACTTTATTATAAAAAATTATATTTCATAAATATTCATCACATTTGGTTCATTTAACCTTGCTTTTATCTTAGCTGAAAAATTGCATTTAAAAAATCTTATGACTCAGCAACAATTCAATATATCATGAAATTCTAATGGTCTGTATGAAAATAATAAAATGCTTATTTAGGTGTGTGTATAGTTTTGGAAAGAACAGTGATGGAAGGAAAGAAGGCAAAGTGCAAAAGATAATTCAGATTTCTGCGGGTCTTCATTAGACCAAGGAGGCTGTTCCTAAAGAGAACGTATGGGTCTCCATTATTTTTGTTAATAGAGACATCCTAATGTAGAAATACAGTTGTCAGATGTGTGGATGTCTTTCTACAGGGGAATTTCTGTACCACCAATATCTCCGTCCTAGAGACTCCAACTCACCTTACATCCCCCATGACAAAGCCCAACGTGAGTGTTGTCGGATCCAAGCCAAAGCAGGCATGCACAGAAAACACACTTGGGCCTGGGGCTCTCAGGAGGACCAGGGTTTCGGGCACATCTTTCCTGGGGCCTGGAGACCCAGGCACTTGGCTCAAGTCTCAGAACGCACCTGTGCCATCTTTGGCTCAAAGTGGCCGTGTGTGGAACACAAATGGTCAGCTGACCTCCTGTTGATGGTAGGAGGATTCATTTGATCAGAACTGAATAACCAGCTAGCATGTCTGGATCTCGTGTCTGGTCGGAATTAGCGCTTTCGGCCCCAGAGGGCTGCAAGATGGTGGCACGGGTGGTCATTTCCAGCTCTAGCACCTGATGGTTCTGTCACCTCCGGATAAGAGGCTCAGATCACAAACATGCCTTTCCTGACTCCCCAAGCAGAACCAGGACATCTGCCAAGGTGTCCCCCGGGGAGCGCACACCATCCGTCCCCCCACGCAGGGAGGGGCCTCTCAGGACGAGCTCTCCAGTCCCGGGGCCCAGCTGTGCTGGAATCCAAAGCCTGGTTTCCAGGGTCCTGTCGCCCCCTTGTTTGGATTTTGGGGAGATTTTCTTTTCTGGGTAGACCCATGTACTTCCTTCTACTAAGGCAAAGCCTAGGCACCAAAAATGTGTGTTCTGTGGAGGAACTTTTCCTTCCCACTTAAAGGCAGAGCCCAGATGCTATTTTCAGAAAATGGGAGCTCTCAGAGCTGTGTGGCCTCCCCCCAGCGCCTTACCTGCAGGTCCCTCCAGCTAGCCCTCGTCCATACGAGGAAGGACGTCTGCACTCACCAACACTCACTCTGTTCTCACCTGGGCTGAGCCCAGCAAGTTCCAGCTCCTGGCACAGGCCGCAGCTCCTGTCTTGCCCTACGGACTCTGCCCCAGGATTATGCAGTCTCCGGTGAATCTGGTTCAGGCTCTTTCAATAAGTGCAGGCTGGTCAGAGGAATCCTCCGCTTCTGCTCTTTGCTCCACACTCCCGAGAGAATAAACATTCAACAGTGCCTCTGAGAGGCGACCTGATCCACTCACCGCACTCCAGCCCATCCCCGGCCTCCTCATGGCGATTCCCAGCCCTGGCTGCACCCCACGTCATCTGGCAAACCTCTACAAACTAGGGGGCCTGGTCACTCATGCATTCTTGCATACCTAGGGACAGGACAGCTTTCCTTCTGTCCAGCATGAAGCCCCAGGATCTATTCAGAAAGGCCCAGTAAATAAACACAACTTTTGAAAACCTGTAATTGTCCATCAAAGAAATGATGATGAAGAAGTGGGCAGAATAACCAAGTTTCTTTTCCTGATTCAAGAAATAAAAAAAGAAGAAGAGAGAAGAAAGGAAGAAAGAGAAAGAAAAAGAAAGAGGGCAAGGCGGACAGAGAGAGACAGACAGAGAGACAGAGACAGACAGATAGAGACAGAGACGGACAGAGAGACAGAGGCAGACAGAGCTACTAATGACCGTTGGGTCATTTAAGGGTGCTCTGCCAAGGGTCATCCGTACCAACTGAGCAACTTTTATTATATTCTAAAGAGAACTAGGAATTGTTAACTTGAATAATATAAAAAGGCCTTCAAATGGACTATTTTCCCTGGAAAACAATAAATGAAACTTACATATGCCAGACCTCACCAGGCTTTGGTTATAAAATCACAGCCTTTTATATCCCAGCGTCTGTAGCGTGCAATGTCACCCACCCACCTGGCAGATGTTAGCTCACTTCGAAGCGTTCCCCAGCCATTTCTGTGAGGTTTTGAGAGCTTGCCGTCCAGAAGCAGCCCCCGTGGCTTCCCCTCCAGTGTCTCCTTTTGTCCACCGTGGCCTCCTTGGGGATTGAAGACTCTGGGACACCCTGCTGTGCGTGGCCACAAGGCCGGGAACCAGTGTGGTCCCACAGGACCTCAGGCGCTGTATCCCCCTGCGGTAGGGGACACACGTGCATGTTACCAGGTTGATCGCATGAATTCATTCCCAGCTCAGATGTGCCCAGCCAAGGCCAGGAGTCTCCACCCCAGCCGTCCTAGATCCTTGATGATGCCCTGCTCATGCAGGTGCCTTCAGAGGTGCCAGCTAGCACCCACGGCAGCTGCCTGAGCTGGGGTTAGCACTCATCCCTGGTCTGAGTGCACAGGTCAGTGCAAACCCCCCACCGCTCGATCCACTCCAGACTGTGCCGTGTGGTAGAATCTGGCCCAAAGGCTTAGGTCTCAGAGATGATGGATTTCTATCCTTTCTAATCCAACAGCTTCCCTCATTTCCTCCTGAGAAACTGTCAAATATTTAGACCCATTGAGCAAGACGCTTTGACCCCAAGTATAGAATCTCATTAAATTGTATGTCTTCCAAAGTACAATCAGCACCATCCAGTAGGACCTCCTGTGATAGGGGAGTTATCCTGTGTCTGCATCATCCAGTGTGGTAACAACCAGGCCCACGTGGATGTTGTCTGCCTCAAACGTGGCGCGTGGGGCTGAGGAATCATTTTTAGTTAACTTACTTTTAATTTCTTTAAATTTAATATCCTCTAGTGGCTAGCGACTACTATACTGATAGCTCAGGTCTACATTATTCAGTGGTCATCAATTTATAGGTGGGTTATTTGCCTTTTATAAAATTAGGATTACCCAATCAAATCCATCATCCAAATGTGTGCAAGAACTCTCTCTAAACCCTGGGTCTGATTATCATCAGATTGTCATAATAGTTTCCCTCCGATTCTGCACTGGGCCCTCATCTGGGACGTCCAAGCATCTTGGCGGACCCATCGAGGTCTCCATGGGCCGGCCTCAGCCCCACCATGCCCGCCTCACTTCCCAAGATTCATCTACACAACACCATTGGCTAGAGTACAACAGGACCCCAAATTAAACTAGTTGTTGAGTGAGTTGACCCTGAGATAGTAAAAATAATATTTCGTCCACCTATTCATTGAGAGCAAGATCGTAATAATGAACGTTTACCGAGCTATCTCTTTGTGCCGGGCACTGTGTTAAGTACTTCACTCTAGTCTCTCCTGTAATCTTCACAGTAACTCTACACATTATGTACTCCTGGCCCTCTCTTACTGATCAGGAAACTGACCCTCCTCTGAAAAATAATGTTCCTCGAGTTTCCGCCTTTAATCGATGGGTCCACTAGAATGTAAGGTCCTAGAGAGACCAGGCCCTGACTCGTCTGCTCTGTCATCCTGGCGTAAAGCCTGACAGAGTGGACTGCCCACTGATGTTTGTTGAATGAATACATGAGTCAGATTTTAAATCTGGGCCCATCTATCTCTGACATATATGTGTGTTCCTGACCACAGCTAGGCTGCCCAGCAGTCAATTATTTCAAATAATTGGGACTTTGAGTCTCAGAGAGTGGGGATCAGTAAAACGTTTCTGGAAAGGGCCAGACACTTGTCGCCCTTGTGGTGGGTAAGCCCTCAGCCACGGCCAAGGCATTGCCACAAGACTTTACTCGAAAAATCAGGCTGTGGCTGGATTTGACCCACACACCGAAGTTTGCTGACTCCTACGGACTATCAGCAAGCGGTAAATTTCCATTGTTTAATTAACACAAAGCCGATCACATGCTTTGCAGAGTCATATCCAATAATCTCTCACGGCAGCTTCAGCTTGAATTTCTTCCCCATTTGTCATCCACATGTCAGTAAAGTACTCGGTATTATTTCTTCTTCATTTTGGTGACTAGAATAAGGATCTTTTATTCTCCTTCACAACTCCCTCTCAATCCCGTTAGTAATAAATACCCCAGAGGCTGGGCTGAAAGTCCCATCCGCTAATGAGGGTAATCATGTCTAATAGAAGCTCTGATTCATTTTCCAGATGCAGGCACACAAACAGAATTCCTGCTTACTCCTAACCCTAGACGCATACCTTCAACAGTGGGAATGTATTTTGCCAGTGAAAAGAATAAATGATATCCGGTCTTTAGAAATAGAGAATCCGAGGATGACTTCAAGGTTAATTGGAAAAGTGAATAAAAACCCAGTATCTACACTGAATCCGGGAGAGAGACCAAGAGGCCTGTTTCTAAGTGTGGTTTGACGCTGAGACCACATCAGCTAGGTCTTACCACAACACCCCAGAGCAGGCAATCCATTCCTGCGTTATTTTATTAGTGTTGTTGGAGTCAACCCTGTGCTGATGGGAAAACAAATTCAGTTGTTCTCATGCTTGTGTCTCAGCCTGATGAACTCCGCCGGGATCTGTCCACATGTCTGAGAACTTGTGCACACGTTGTCTACACATGTGAATCGTCACCACCCAGGAATCATAGAACTCCAGCTGAAGGACCCCAGGCTCCGAGGCCAGGCTGCCCAGAGGCCACTCTCCCGCCAGGGCACTCCTGGTCCACAGCTTATGCGGGTAAGCGTGGATGCCCTGGGCAGGCAGATGTGAATAACCCCGCCTTCGAAGAACAACAGAGAAAGAAAGGCTTTCTCCTTCTGGGAGAAAAGAGCGGTGGGGTCCTTGAAGAATGGCAGACTTGGTGTCTGGCAGAGGCAGCTAGAACACAGCCCCTGCCCATGGTGTCTTGAAATGCAGGCCCTGGGGTTTTAGATCTACTTTGGGGGAACTGGTGTGCAAATGCCTGATTCATAAATATCAGTGACTTTTTGGTTTTGTCTCCATGAGGAAAGGGCCAAGCTTCCTATATGGGCCAGCTGCATTTGGTCAGATGGTCGTCTACTTAGGACCTCTGCTTCAGCACTCTGAAGGATCGTCCCTTGACAGCAAAGAAAATCATCTTGAGGGGTAACAAAGTCGTCATCAACAGCTATCTTCATGGTAAGAGCAAGCTAAGGGCCTCTAGCAGCCAACACTGGAGGCAGAGAGGTGGAAAGGCCCCATTCATAGACACCACCGTCCTCACAGGTGGGTCTTGCTGGTCCAGGGCAAACATACCAGTGGGACCCATGTTTCCCATGTCTCAATATCGTCAAGTTATGCACCAAAATTCCATCCGATAAAAAATGTTCTATCCCTGCTTCCCTCCCAAATATACCTACATAATGACAAAATAGACAACCCATGCAAATTTTAGGTTTAAGGATAGAATGTCAGCAAGTTATGCAAGAGGAGGTGATTTAACTAATATTGGGAATGGGGTTTCTCTTCACGGACAGCAATATTTAGGTGAGTAATAATATACAAACACATAACATAACGACTGAGTAGGAACGTTAAGTCTTTCACATTGCAAACTAGTCTTCAGCAATCGTTGTGGGGTGCTGAGCAGTCTGGCAAGGATTTCAGACCCACACAATGCACAGGGAGGGAGCAAGAGAACAGGGGGCCTGCCCTCCAGGGAAAGGGTACACGGCCACACCCAGGTGATCCCATCCTTGCTCCAAGAGAGGGCCGGGTGGGCTGCTAACTTGTCTTTTCTCTTTCCTAGGGGCCACATAAACTGTCCTGCCATTCAGCAAAGCCTGTCACTTATACCACAATGGCTCAACCCCAGATCTTTGCATTTGGACATAGTTTCTTGTTTTAAAGATGATGGGAAAAGAGCTTGGTGAAATGTTGCTTCGGGTCTGTGGGCCTTTGTCCTGAGAATGATGCTTAAGGTAATGGAAAGTGTACCCCAGCATGGAGTGTTGGGTCTTGCGTGACCAAGGGACACATGCGCTCTTAAATAATTTCCTTTGTGCGTGTGTGCATGCGTGTGTGTGGGGGGCGGGGGGGAAAGAAATGCACGAGGTGCCCTGAAGTGTAGGGCCCGAGGCAGAACTCTACCTGCTTGAATCCAACAGTGGCACAGTCTGCTGTCGCGGGTTCTCAGAGTACTTCCTGACTCAGAGCACTTTCGTCCTAGGGCTGGTAAGAACCCTGAACCCATCATCCTGACTCTTGTCTTGGCTTATAGTAGTAAGCTTGTCCCACATAAACTCTGGGAAACAGAAGACAGTTGCTTTACTACACATGTGACCTGACCAGTAGGGTTTGTGCTCTGGCTGAAGCCCACGAATCAAACTGGTGAAAAGATTAACCGGAGAAAAACCAATTCAGTGAAGTACATGCAAGAGTTTTTACAAAGACTCCAACTCATCGTGGCAGCCAGGTGATGGAGGCCCATATACGCGTTAGGCCACACAGGGGGAAAGGAGTTTTGAGCTTCTAGGAGGGGAGGTGAGTCCTGGGCAGGTGAGGGAGGCAAGGGGTGGTAAATAAGCACCATCTTGCCATGGAGTTGAGAGCCTCTTCGGTCTTAAGACTTGTTTCCCAGAGTAACTTTCTTCCTCCTACAGAGACACCTTTAGCAATAGGAATTTCCTTTACAAACGGGGACATTTATTCCCTATTTTCAGGCAGTTAGCGGGAGGTAAAGAGCTTTTCCTGTGTCTGCCTTTAGCTCAAAGTAATCCACAAGCCAAGGAGACACATTTTGGGCGGCCTATCCTGGTACCCTTCGTGGACAATGGTCAACCCAGGTTGCTTTAGGAGTGGAATGTCGTCCTAACAGTGGACAATGTTGTCCTCCTTCAAATCATTAGAACTGACCTGCTAAAGTTAGTTTTACACCAAAATTCCAAATATAGCAGTCAACAGTCTCACAGAGAATAGGTTAATGTAATGTGTAATGAATTGCTTTCTATGTGGTACACAAAGGATAAAACAAGTATGAATGGGAGACATGGTGGGCATGGTATAATGTTGGGGTGCCTGATGAGGGTGCCGTGGCCCCCACCACCATGGTGTCACAGTGGGATATTCACCTCAGTGGATTCATTCCAGTCTGGGGTCAGCTGTGCTTATTGGTTGGGATACGTGTGAAATGAAAATCGCTCACTTTTCGGATTTTGGCACCTTGTGAGTTAATTACCTATCTTATAGATAACTAATGGAATGACTAAGTGAGTAAAGGAAAGCGGACCCAGCAAGGAGACCGGGGCTCAGCAAGAAACCTAGTTAATGTCTTAGCAGGAGAAACAGTGCAAGGATCAGAAACCGTACCCCATCCAGGCACCCTGCCTGCTTCCCTGGAGGGGCAGTGAAACCAGAGGACAAGTGACACTCTAGAGACATCTCCTGAGCAACATCCACTCACGGATTCCCCTCCCTCTTAGACATGCTACCTGGCACCACGCTGGGATCAACGGGGCGCTGCTGGTTCTCCCTCCAGTGGACACCCGAGTGCTTCTGCGGGTCCCCAGCCAGGAATCACGTGTTTCCGCCCGCACCCCAAGTCTGTGGGCTTTCGCAGTAACCGTGTACTTTAATGGACTCTTGTGAGATTCAACCCCATGAAACAGGAGTGTACCTAGTTCATCATTTCTATGAAAATCGAAGTGAACTTACCTGGAAGAATTTGATAAAAGCAACTTTATTTTTGTTTTGTTTTGTTTTTAGATCACTTTCCCAAATTGCTGTAGATGAGGCAGCTGTAGATGCTAAGAGGAAAACTCTACGGCTAAGTTTTCTGGATTAAATTGCTGCATGGGGGTTAATAAGTTCTTTCTCTGCCATCAGGAAATAGAAACAGGAATTCACAGACAATCCATTATTTATTCTCTGCGTGTGTTAATGCAAGAAATACCATGGCAAGTCCAATTAGTGGAACCATTAGCAAAAAACATCAACACGAGTGAATAGGTATTGATAGGTTTTAAGACATTCAACCAAATATTTAAGGTGTACATGATTCGTGTGTATAATTCTGTGCATTAATATTTTCTTTTTCCTGTTAACTAGCCACTGGTCCCAATTGCAGAGGATATAGTAGGGTTTCTATTTGAGTAGTCTTAGACTTGCCTAGTGGACACATAATTAGAAAAAGAGCCTTTCCCGGAGGACTCCAGATGTTGAAGGGTATCCGCTTCCCACCTGGGGACCACCCGCGTTCCCCAGATGGGGCCGGGCCGGGAGTGCAGGTCAGCTCTGCCTTCATTGTTTTTCTTCAGCCATTCCTCAGTTCTCTTTTTAAAAGAGGCATTCTTTCTTCAGATAATCTAATTCTTTTATTTTCCTTTTGGGGTGGGGGGCAGGAGGAGAAGGAGAAGGAGATGCCGAATCTTCAGCAGGCTCAACACCCAGCACAGAGCTGAACACGGGGCTCGATCTCTCAACCCTGGGATCATGACCTGAGCCGAAATCAAGAGTCAGGTGCTCAACTGACTGAACCACCCAGGCTCCCCAGATAATCTAATTCTTTCCATGAAGTCAGTTGAGTGTATAGTTAACTCGTGAGCCCTTCCATTTTCTCAGAGTAACCTACATTCATTTTGCCCTGAACCATTCAGTTGGTTTATAATTTCACCCTCCATGGACAATCTTGGCCTCATTCATTGTTTCACCTCTTGGAGATGATACCTCAAAGCCAGTGTTCACGCATCCTTTGGGCATCGGTCAGTACACACAATGATAGGCAAGCGTCGGTAACTTGTTATAAGGATGTCTTTCATGCCGCCTTTCCCACCTCTGTTTGCTAGCCTACTTTTTGAGTTAATATCACAATTACCTTAAACTTAAAAAACCATCAGTATCTGATACGTTATCCCTTACCAGAAATCTTGCAAGACTTCGGAATCTAATGTGATAGTTGGACCTAATTTAAAAGCTGTGTAGGAGAGAGAGAACACAGGCTTACAACATAGACTAATTTTTTATTGTCATCACCAGACGAGGGTGTTGGGGTTACAAAGCCTTCTCAGATGTGGAAGCGCTTCCATGCTGTGGTGGGTGGCACATGAGTGGGGGCCCAGAGCCCAGGGGCAAAGCCACACTTCCTTCCACCGGTGCCATTTGGAGCCTGCATGAGCTCTCATGTCTCTGAAGCAGAAGCATTATGGGCATTCTGATCTGTAAACTAGAGAAGAGGAATAGAATTTTCCTATGTAATTATTGTACTGGAATGCATATAAAGATCTGAGTGTGTGTGTTACTGGACCCTTAAGTGAATAAACCATCACTAAATGTTCACTAGTGTTGCTGCTAGGACTACTAACATTACCACTGCAGGTACTACTCACGTGTGTTCTTGGGCACATTTTTGAACCTATGACAGTGTGGAATTTCACCTCATTCCCAAGTTCCTGGTAAACAGCGATGGTCAACCCCCCCACCTCCACCATCCTTTTTTGTTCCAGAAAACCACTAACCAGGAAAGACCACCCATTCTTGCTGTTCCAGGATAAAACTCATCTTCACACGTCCTCAGTGACCAGATAAGACCTTCTCTTGCTCCCACAGACCCACGGGCGACCCCGTGGTCCACTTGCCCTTGTCCACCTCCCTTTAGGAAACCCCAAGCCCCTCCCTTTTCTCTGAGGTGTCACTGATCAGCGAAGGTCCTCCCTACCACAATAGCCTGGACGAACCTCTCTCCTGCTTGGTCCGGTCTGTGTAAGTTGCCCTGTAGATGGATGACCATAGCACCACGGCTACTACTAGCTTCCTTATGGGACTGTCGTGAGTTTTAAATGCTGTTGGCAGTGATGTGCTCAGCAAGACACTTACACACCATCAGGGCTAAATAATTGGCAGGTATTTTTACCAGTAGCGATACATTGCGCAGTAATTTATGCTTTACAGAATCGTGTCAACGACTGCCTTTATTCAATCATGGCAATAGCTACTGTCAAGACAGATGTTATTTATTCCCATCTTACAGATTAGAAAACTGAGAAATGTCCCTTGACTCACCCAAATGAGCCACCTCAGGGCCAAAGCTGGGATTCAAACCCATAGTGTTTCCAATCGTAAACAGCCCAGAGATAGAAGTGAACAGTCGAATCTAGCGTTGAGGAAAAGGTAGGATCTCGTATCGGTTTCCCATCTTCCTTCTTCCAAAGCAGTGTAGCACGCGCCTGTCACCCTGGGAGGGTGTTCTGTGAACAGGCCACCGCCTCTCTGACCACACGCTCGTCTTAATGTCACAAGACAACTGAGTAGTGGGATCATTTCTGCTCAGCCCCAGGAACTAGCCCTGCAAATGGCTCCATAACTGACCTGCCTGTGGCGCATCCATTTGGAACAACAAGGCTGCCTGCCTCCTGCAAAGAGCAGACTGCCCTGGAAAGTAGATTTTAATCTACTGTTAATCCAATGAGCACTGAAAAACAGCCCATCCGGCAGATGTTTATCGATGATATTGCCCACTGCCAGGCACACAGGCTGCAAGGTGCCACAGAGGGTGGCACGGTCCTTCACCCGGCAGCCAGCCTGGTGTGGGAGGTGCGGGAAGTGCCGTTGGATAAGAGCGCACGTTCCCCCCTCCCCTCCTCTCCTGCTGCCCTCCCTCCTTCCCCTTCTCCTCTCTCCCTTCCTTCAGCTCTTGGTTTAGTATCTGCTGGGCGGCAAACGCAGAGTATATATTGGTGGGTATATTAGACATATGCTCTGTTTCGTAGAGTTTATTTACCATACGAGAAAAGAGACAAATCGTAAATAAGTAAACAACATTGTAAAGTGCCCTTTTAGGCTCCTGCACACAAGAGAATATTGAATGCCGCAGAATGGCGCTGTGTTCTGTGGGGCAGATGTTGATAGCGCCAGAGCTGAAAGTCATGTCGCGTCCCCTCCACCTTTGTTAGCGGCCTCAGATCCCTCTTATGCTGAAGCACAGACCTCACAATGGCTCATTGCTATGGCTTGGTTGGCGCATTCTCTTACACATTCTGTTGCCTCGCACAGAAACACTACTATCTTTCTGGCCCCCTTCAGAGGGAGTGATTTTTCATCCGAGCCTCCAAAGCCTTCTATTCTGTGCAGATGTTGGTGGCAGAGGGTGTTAGAGAGTCCCCTGGCAAAAGAACGAGTCTGTTTTTCTAACAAAAATAAACAGCCGGCTAAATGTGTCCGAGAGGCAAGCTTGCAAATAGCTCGAGCTATCAGGCTTCCTGGCTTTAGTGGACACCGAGGCTTCCCTCTCAGAGTAGGGTCGCCGCTGTTACCGGCTGGGATGCAGTGAGGAAGCAGGTTCTCTTCCGGTCCTCATAGGTCTGGGGGCAGGACAACGGGGCCCCTCGGCGTCCCATCAGCTGCAGGAGACCAAAACAGGCAGAATCTGAGAAAGGATCCTGTATGTTAGATCCTACGAGGCTTTTTTATTTGGTTTTTCTCTGAGCCATAACCTCAGAAACCAGGCAAATCCAGAAACTGATCCAGGATAGATTTTGCAAACAGTATGAAAAAGCCGACCAGAAATCAATCACCCCCTTCCACTTATACAGGAAAGAATGGTGCACACATTTTTGCTTATTGAGACGGCAATGTCGAATGTGACCCCAAGTGGTATTCGGAATGAGCCAGGTCTTAAGGGGTGGGGGTCGAGGGAGCCATCCGTCCGTCACCTCTAATCCCAGGAAAACCACAGCAATCTGGCACTTCTTCCCTTCCCAGAGTGTGCGAATGGGCTATTCCATCATATGCTTCGATGTGTGAGTTTAGACTTTGGCACTATTGGTGATACATACATTTACAATTCAAATTCAATTTAAGAGACAAACCAGGCTGAACCTCACCAGCAGATAGGGTCCCTCCCTTGCTCACCTACTTTCCTTTCTCTTGTCTCCCCTCCTTCTTTTTTGAGTGATGACGCTGGTGCCTTGGATGTTGGCTATGGGACCTGGGGCTACCACGATCTCTCCAGACCTTGCAAAACTGGGTGATAACTTCAGGACAGGGGAGGCATGGTAAAAGGTAGACCGTGAGTTTTCCAATACTAAGAGAGCTTATTTCATTATATAAGTGATAACATGACTATTGTGGGGAAAGAAACATATAATACTATAAATGACAAAGAAGGAAAAATCTCTAGTAATCCTTTAGGGAAAACCACTGCTAATGTTTTCATATTTATTCCCAGAATTTTCTCCATGTTTGCATATTTGTGTGTATGATTTTTGAAAGGATACATGATAAGGTTTCATCCTTCTTAATGGGCACATCGGTCTGTGTGTACAACAATGTATTTAACAATGCACCTATTCGTGGTCATTAGGCTTCTTACATATCTTATTGGAAAGCCATGCCGTGAGCATTGTCTCACATATATCTGTGCATCTGTCTCTTTATTTCCTTAGATCAATTTCTGCCAGTAAGTTTGCTGGGTCAAAAATTGCTGGCATTTGAATGTTGATTCCTACACCCAGAAGGCCATCAGAGAGGTTGACAACATCCAGTCCCGCAAGAAGAGCGTGCTCTTTGTGGCCCCCAGGCAGCCAGGAGAGAGGGCACGGATTTAAGTTGGAAGATGAGCAGGAGCAGGCGTCTTCTTCTTCTTCTTCTTCTTCTTCTTCTTCTTCTTCTTCTTCTTCTTCTTCTTTTTCTTCTTCTCCTTTTTAATTTTATTTATTTGAGAGAGCAAGCGAGAGCACAAGTTGGGGGTGGGGAGGCAGAGGGAGAGGGAGAAGCAGACTTCCCGCCAAGCAGGGAGCCTGATGTGGGACTCGATCCCAGGACCCTGGGATCATGACCTCAGCGGAAGGCAGACGCTTCACGGACTGAGCCCCCCAGGCGCCCCAAGGGGGTGGACTTCTGACTCAGTGGCCCTTCTGCACTCTGAAAAACATCTAGAACAAGTTTCCCTTCAAGACCAGCTTGTCACCATGGAAAGAAGTCCACTCTAATCCCCCCAGATGTCCCAGATTTCGTAATTATTGGGAAGAGACTACCGAGAAATATGGAGGCGGTGGAGAGGTAGACATGTGTGTGCATGTGAGCAGGGAGAGGGTCATAGGAGGGACTAGGTTAAAAGAGGTAGCCAAGAGGGGAGAAGTCAAGATAGGGACTTGGGGGTGCAAACCCGAGCCGGGTTGCCACTGGTCAGATGGGATTCAGTCTTATTTTGGTGTCTGAAATTGCTCATTTCATCTCTCAATCACTGTTTTATTCAGTTCATACTATTTGCAACGATAGAGAGCCTGGAAAGATCTACACTGAACATAATGATTTTCTTCTGGAGGGTGGAATTGGAGGGGCAAGGGTAAAATTTTTTACATTTTATATTTTTAGAGGTATTATTAGAAGTGTCTTAAAATTTATTTAGAATTTTATGATTTTTACATAGTAAACTAAATATTTGCTGATTGAATAGGTGGAATTTTGGACAGTGGGGTCTTTCTAGGTCTACCACAGGGAATGGATCTTGTGTTGAAAAGAATAGGAATACCGACAAAAAGAATCTCTTGTTGAGTAGATCAGGAATAAGCATATGTCAGCCAGGTGGGGGTGAGCATGCTATGCTTGGTTTTCTTCTCGTCTATATTCCACACTGACCAAATACATGATTAGCGGCAGGGTGAGCCAGATATTACGCGAAGAACTAGGGACAAAGGGAACCAACAGAAATCATTCTTGTTGGATGGCTGACATTATTGAGTGGTCTGTGCCTGATACCACTGTTTCAGGTGCTTCGTGTGGTCATCTTTCTTTACTTACCATGAGTACCAAAGCTTGGGGAATCACCGCACTGTGCAGATGAGAGTTTGGGCAGTGCAAGGTCAGGTGATTCGACCGAGCTCATATGATCCAGTTCATCAAATCTGAGATACTATCAAGTGCAAGATATACCATGATTTTCTGTACTATAAACAAAGTTTGGCCTAGTAACAATATAACACGCCATTGAATAAAATGCCAATATAAAATGGATTGAAAGACTGATTTTAGACATGTTAACATGTGAAAAAAATATGCATCTTTTGTTCATGAGCTATGGGATTGAGCAAGTGTATAGAGTTGCAGTTGGAACACCAGGTCTTCGCCCCGCAATATGCAGGCTGCTGAAACTATGCTGTTAGAACACGGACAGCCACTCACCATCCTGCCATGATGCCTGATAGGGTTATAGTAAAGAAACACACGCTTCTGGTGGGTCAGATAGGAACATACTACTACAGGGATGGAGCATCCACCTAAAACCAATAGATGGAATAAAATACACCAAGAAGAAAAATAAACAGTGTTCTCTTTATGGATGAAACATTGTGCTTTAGAAGAAACGTGTAATCCAGGGAGAGGAGAGCTGACAAATGAGTGGGGAGTGCGGGGGGTGCCACAGGGGATTCTGGGACTGGGGTGGGGGATGGAGGAGACGGCACGGGGCATTCTAGAAGAAGACTTTGGAGAGGAAGTTAGGGTCAGCAGAACAAGGTCAGGGTTTTGGTCCTACCCTGATGTAAAGCAAAGGTGTTTAAACCCTTGGGGAAGGCATGATCAGATTTGTGCTTGAGGAGAAGGGTCACTTCCAGTAAGTGGTGAAGGAACCACTCTGGGGGCTGCAGTGGATGTGGGCAGGGCAGCATCGCCCTCATGCCCCCCTCGCACCATGAGGATGAAGCTGCAACCAGCAGTGGCTCAGTGACCTCATGCTGGGGACTGGGGAGGATGCGTGCTGTGTGTGGAGGTAGGATCAACTCAGAAGAATGAAGACAAGTAGGGAGGACATTAGAATCCAAGCTGAGGAGGTTTAGACATTGTTCACTCTCTCCACAACTGCAAGAGTCATCTTGACACCATGAAGGGAGGGCCGAGGAGATGACTCCAAGATGCTGGAGGCATCTTGGCCCCGGTACCTCTGAGCCTCCACACCAGTGCCATAACTGGCAGTCTGCAACCGTTTCCCTTTCTGGGCAGCCACTGGCCTGTGCTGTTGCTGCTCGAAGCCTGGGGTCGGCCTGGCAGATGGGAGCCCTGGGTGCGGGAACACCGGACACGCCACAACACGGTCAGGCAGCGGAGGGCGAGCCTGCGGAAGAGACAGGGGAGGAATAGCCCGAGAAGTGGAAGAAATCCCGGCAGAGCATCCTGCCCTGGAAGCCGCCAGAAAGTAACTCAAGAAGAGAGAAGGCTTCCAAAAGCCCAGTTAGATGGCATCTGAGGTCATCAGTGGAGATCTTGGTGGGGGCAGAAAACACGCCCGTCCAGTCCCATCCTCTGTGTCCTTCCCAAGAGAACCCGCTTTCGTCGGGGTGGGCGTCATGTCCCCCGACTGCAGTGGCGACCGGGCCGTGAGGCCTGGTTCAGGGGCTCCCTGGCCTCTGAACTCCTCTGGGGGATTTGAAAGACCGCACTTGGCCTTTGCCCTTGGCTCCTCCCCCTCGTTCCTGCCTGGAGCCAGAGGGCTGGCTGACAGCAGCCGTCAGAAGATGAAGTGACCTGCTAAGAAGGGCACTGCAGCAAGATGGAATGGCCCGGGTCGCTCTCGGCGTCTTGGAACCACCCTGTCAGCCTTGGGCTTCCCGTGCCATAAAACGAATTCCGCACAAACAGTAACTGGCTTCCCCGCGCTGTCTGCTCCTCTCAGCCCAGCTGCACTGTGGGGGACGCAATCACCTGCGTGAGCTCTGGGGGCCTGCCTGGCCGCCTGGAAAGCGAGTCCCTGAAGAGTACGTGTTGGGGACACGGTGGTCGCAGAGAAATAGTGGGGGACCGGGGGGCCGAGGCAGTGTTGGGAGGATTCTTTTTTTTTTTGGTAACGAGAAAGACTTGGCGGTATTTCCACGGAGATTCGGAGGGTCCCGGAGTGAAGAAAAGGCTAGACACGCAAGACAGAAGCGAGAACCATCCTCTGGGATTTCTGAGTAGGTGAGATGAGATGGACTCCAAAGCACAGGGGAGCGAGGTGGCTTTAAATTCTGTAGGACAGTTCTTCTGGAAACGGGAGAAGGAGGGAGTGGGTGCAGCGCGTACAGCGGTCGGTCAGTGACGAGTGCCCCGGCGGGCAGGGCTGCGTGGGGCTGCCCGCAGCCTTCCGCAGAGGGGAGACCGGCAGGGCCGGTAGGGGCCGGGGCGGCAGAGGAGGCCCAGCAAGGAGCAGGTGACAAGGGCCTCGGCCGGCGTCATCCTGCTGCAGCCAGAGAGGAAGAAGAATGGAATTTTAAGAAGTTTTAACGTTAAGACCTCCTTCTTCTGATCTCCTTCGCTGCGCCCTAAACATCAGTCGGAAGAGACCCTTCATTGCTGTCTTCTGCCACTCCCCCTCCGAGCCCCAGCCCGGCCCCTGTATCTGCAGGTTCTGAGTCATTCAGTTTCTGCTCCCAGGCTGCCTGCTTCTCTGTCTCAGCTGCATGGAGGTGAGCATGTCCTGCTCCGAGATCCTTCACCACATCGGCGAGGATCTGATGTATGGTTCCTCTCTTGTGTCCCTGTCATTTCTTACCCTGACTCATTGCGATCTGTGTCCCGGTTGCATCCCCTCCATGAGATTATAAAACCACGACCTCTGGACCATCTTGCTTTTCCCATCACTGTGCCCCCAGGTCAGAGCGCGCTGTGGTCTTGCCGGGCGAGCGCGGTTTCTCCGTTGCACACGTGCCTTCCAGAGGACATGCTGAGAGCCCGGTTCGGATGCGAGAGGGAGAAGAAGAGAGACGACCAAAGATGAAGGTTAGGTTTTGAGCCTGGGAGACCAGAAGACAGATGGCCATCACTGACAAGTTGGGAAGAGAGTTGGGAGGGATGGTTTGTGGAGGAAAGAGAATGAATTTCTTTTTGGCTTGCTTGAGTTTGGGAAGACCTTGACGCTAAGCCGGGGACCGGATTTCTGACACTGTGTGGGATGACGCAGTCAGCGGACCTGCACCCGGGCAGGCGGACAGCTTTCCCAAGAACCCTGGGGGAGGCCAGCCTGACCCTCCACCTCTCCCAGGCTGCTCTTCCTCATCCGTCCCATCCTAATGGAGGAGAAATAAGATGAGTTCTGTGAAAACACTTTTTAAAGCGTCCTAGGACGTTTTGTTTTGTATGTCAGTTGTCATTTTCAAAATGTCCCCAAACGATGCTTTCTTATGGGAAATAGAATGAGCTCTGAAGCCAGGCGCTGTGTGGAGTGCCTACCTCATAGGGTTGTTGTTAGGATTAAAAAAAAGTTAGTATTGCAAATTTCTTAAGCAGTGTCTGACCCACGGTGAACACTTGCGAAGTAAGAATTAACCGCTTCCTGCCAGGTTCACTGTTACTCGTATGTGTGCCTGGGAATAGGGTGAGAACAGAGCGGGAGGGTCATTTGTCTAAAGCCTTTCTGGTAACATAAGACAAGAATCGAGACTGGTCCGGGGACATTTCCTCACGTGGGTTATTTGGGAAGGAGCAGACCTCGTCCACAGGGAAGGTTCCGTAGAGCCAGCTCTGGTTGGATTCAAACACTCCCATTTCTCACACGGGGTTTGGAGAAGTAAGACCCCATTGTCTCCCTCTGGAAGCTAAGGACAAAGTTTTTCTCAATCTCCAAAGAAGGCGAATAAAACAAAGCCTGGGGTGGGGCAGATGTTCTCCAAGCTAACCATTCAAACTCCCTATTTCTTGTCGAGGACGTTTTAGGGGAGAGGGTTTTGGGGTTTGGGGTTTTGACTGTATTCTCCAGAATGGATTTACTGTGTGATAGGCGGATTCCGAGGACACCTCGTAGGGGCTGCAAGCTACGTGAGCACAAGAGGGGAGGGTGCCCGAAAGCTGGCACGGGGACTTCGGGGCCGGCCCTGCCCCCCAGCAAGTTCCACCCCTGGGGGACATTTAATCTGCAGGACGCTTCCCCTCTGTACACAGAGAGCTTCCCTGGGTTCCAGATCTTCAACATCATAATATTCAAATGCCTTCGCCATGACATCTCTTGTAGTGAAACAGTCGTCAAAGGTCCACGTGGCCCACGGCTGCCACCTTCGCACAGGAGAGATGGCTGAGCTAAACTTAGCCTTTGAATGGGAGGCCCACCCTGTGCCTCTGTGCCCAAATGAGTAAGAGTTGGCTACAGTGACTTGTTTTGTCTGTAGCGATCCAGAGACATCTAATTTCAGTTGGCTCCAGAAGGCTGTGGCCTTTCAAAGGAGAAGAAGGAAAAAGCAAAGCAAAACAAAACATCTCTAGGTGACCAATTCTTAAAAAAAAGATTTCCTCATTAGCAAAACATATGCCCAGAGCACTTCTGATAGCTGCAGTGTATGTTTGCTGTTTTGCTTTATGACGCAACACTTCTGGGATTAGATTCCCATGAACGCGTGCAAATCACTGCAAATTCACTAGATTTTCAAACACAGGGCTCAGCCAGCTATCTTTCCTAATGGGATAATTAATTCCATGCATCAACTTAGTTGTGCTACGGTGCCCAGATCTCTGATCAAACATTATTCTAGATGTCTCCGTGAAGGTATTTCTAAGATGAGATTAGCATTTAAATCAGTAGACTTTGAATAAAACAGCTTACCTTCCATCATGTGGGTGGGCCTCATCTAATCAGTTGAAGGCTCTAATAGAAGAAAACCCTAACCTCTCCAAAAAGAGGAGGGAATTCCACCAGCAGACAGCTTTTGGACTCAAATGGCAATGTCAGTAGTTTGGTGGATCTCTAGCCCCCTAGCCACCTGCAGATGTTGGACATGCTAGCCCCACACTCTCACCGTCTCTCAGGGTTAATGATTCTCTGGAGAAACAGAATGGATAGAATGGCCTAAGCACACGACATGTAATACTTGGACATACTTACGCTGAACACTTACTGGTTGTGCATCTGCCACTCACACCTGCAAGGCTGCCGCGTATTTTATCTAGCCGCCTACGAGGGGCCAGTCCGTTCCCTCCAGGGGTTCTCTAAGCCCTGCCCTCTCCTCCACTTGCTGGGCCCTAGCTCTCGGCTTCATCCCTGGCTCACGAAGCCACCCCTCCCTTGTCACCCCTCAATGCCCCACGCCTCCATTCTGGTCACTGCAACAGAACAAAGCTCTGGAAGGTTTTCTGTAGATCCTTCATACATTCCAGCCTTTGCAAGATCAGGACCACGTTCCTTCTGATGTGGTTGCGGACAAGCTGTCACTGTATTACCAAATTCAGGGGACACAGCCCTCTGCTGGGTCACTGTGCCTTCTCTACCTGACTGACCACCTCAGTCCTGCCTCGCGTGACTGACCGGTCCGTGTCCTCTCTCCAGCAGCGTCAGAGATGTTTTCCTGGTACCAAAATAATAACGTAAGAGGAAATGGGACTAAGATCCAGCACTACAGTCACCCCTTCTCATCCTAAGCACTCAATGTTTGTAGAATGAATAACTGATGGTATACTTCATACTCTAGGTAAAAATAATCCTAAAATCTTAGAGATAAAACTCCTGGGACATCGTCCATAACTGCTTGTCTAATGTCCTGCCCCTCTACTCTCCTGTTACCTGGGTGGGAGTGAGCCCTGAAGGAGAATCGATAATGACAGCAGTTAAGGTCTGTGCATTCTTCCCGGGTTTGAGGCACAGCCACAGTAAGAAGGAGGCACTATGGCCCTTGCAAGCTTACAGATGAACACACTGGCCTGCACAGGACTCCAAGCTTTTTGGGGTCCACTCAGCGAGTCTTGGGCACTGGGCCCAGGCCAGTTGGGCTCCAAGTCACCTGCCTGAACACTTCTGGAGGTGAGAAATCTTTATGAATGGGCAACGTTTTTGTTTTTAAACTTCTTCCCAAAAAGTGGCTCTCAAACCTTCCTTGATTTACAGAATGGTGAGGGGAGAGCTGGTGAATGGGGGAGAGGGGAGGGCATCCTCCCGCACAGCGTCTGCAGAGTCTGGCAGCCAAGGGCACTGAGAGTCTGCTCCAGGGTCCCACTGGGGCCCAGGCAGACACAGCCAGCACCCCAGGACTCCCTCTTTAAGGCAGGCCGCACCCGGAGGGGGAAGGCCGGGGCCCGCAGAGCCCCGAGCTTCCCATTTTGAGAGACATACAGAGCCTGTGAGGTCAGAGAGGGGGCAGCTCCCGTGGTCATGCAGCACGGGACCAGCAGCGGGGGCAGGACAGGGAAGTGTTTTCCTTGACCCTCTCGGGGGCCCTGGCTGACAGAGAGAGGCTCCCAGGGAAAAGCACACAGATTTATTTAATACGAGTTCTATATTAAGTAAGCGGGGGAAGGGAGGAGGTGAGGAAGCAGAGGTGAGTGTTGACCTGGGCTGGATGAGGCGAGGGGCAGTCTTGGAGGAACAGGACGGGTCCAGGGTGGGAGGGGCGCGAGCAGACTTAGCACAGCCTGCTGGTTCCGAGTCTTCTAGAGCCCCGTGTCTTCCGAGATAAGGACATTAGGGATGTGCCTTTCTTCGGACATCAGCTAGGGCGCCTCTACCAGGAGGGTCTGCACCTGTCCCGGGCTGGGTGGGGGTAGGTCGGAGGGGCCAGCTTCCTTCTGCCCTTTTTCTCAAACTCCTTCAGTACCCCTCGGGGCCATATTTGGGCTTGGATGTGGGAGGATTCTGCTTCCCTTTCCCATGGCTGCTGATCCACGGGCCGAGGACCAAAGAGAAGACGTAGAAGGTACGTGAACGGGGAGGGGAGGCTGTGGGGATAGCCTTCAGAGACCCCAGAAGGGCCTGGCCACTTTCTCAAGCTAGGACCACTTCTGTGTTTACGTTTGCACCACAGATGCTGTCCCATGGGATAGTCCTTCCTCTAGAGATTTGGCTTTTCTAAGCCTTTAAATCTGCATTCTCTGATCTTGCTGAGCTGGAAGGAGGGAGGAAGCACTGAAATGTGGACTCAGTTCCTCTCTTGGAAGGTCAGCCCTCCCCCAGGCATCTCTGCCCGGGAGGCTTCCGGTCCTGAGACAGAGGCTGGTCCGGCAAGGCCTCACTTACCCTGAAGAGGCAGGTGCACCCCTCCATGACAAGCTCTGGCAGCCCCAGACTCAGAAATTCCAAGACCAGAGAGAAAGCCCAAGGACCCCCAGCTCTGGGCTCTTACTGCCAGTGGTTAGTAATCCTGAAAACAGAGTCTTTTCTGTCCAGAGAGCTCTCCCGTGTAGACAGAGAACGCCCCCTCGGTGAGAGCAGCCTCAGGAGCAGGGTCTGCGCTTGCCGAGATCTCTCCGTGATCAGCCGGTGGT